CAAATGAAATATTATCGTTGGGGTGACTTTTCGGGTTTCACCGAAAGTGACGTCATCTTTGTTATTTTTAATGGCACACCCTGTATTTCACCTCATTTTTGAATTCTTCCCATGATTTAGATTCTAACTCATGTATCATACCCTATACCCAAAATGAAACGTTTTCGAATTATTCGAGTTTTTTTAGAAAAAAGTGAGTTAGATGCAGCTCTCGAACATACGTCATTTTCATGTAAATTAACATTTTTAAAAATATGCAGCTAATGAATCATGATCATTGAAGGTTGAACGGATCACGAATCATTTTTACGTCCACTGAATAATCCACAGGGTGCGCAAAAATTAGGGTCCAATAAATGAATGAGAAAAATTATAAATCTCAACTTTTTCAAATGGGAACCCCTATTTTTTTCCTCAAGGTTCAATTCTATTATGAAAATAAGCCCTAGTTATGATACACTTCCCTATATCCAAAACTTTGTTGCCTAGTTTCCATTGAATATCTCATGAAAAATAATACCATATTCAAGACAAAAATCATGATTGAAATAAACAACAATTTCAAATTTAGTTTCAATGCTAAACAAGAACATGTGACACTTTTGTCAACCGCTTTTTTTATTGCAACAAATGTTCAAATACATTGCCCCCAACTTCTAAGCATTTTACACTTCTCCGTATGACGTCTCCTACAGCTCGTCTTATCATGTCCGGTGGAATAGAGTTGAAAACAGTACGAACTCTCTGCTGAAAATCTTCTTTCGTTGTTGGCGTGTTAGAATACACCTCGTTTTTTATATAACCCCAAATAAAAAATCCGTTGGAGTTAAATCGGGCGATCGCGGTGGCCATCATTGAGAACCGTCGGTTCCAAACCACTGGTCGTAATAAGTTTCTTCTAAATACATTTTCACCATCTGATAATTACGTGGAGGTGCTCCATCATATTGATACCACATTTTTCGATGGTCAGCGAGCGTCAGTTTTTCCAAATGATCCGTATCGAGATTTTTTAAAATATCTAGGTATTGTTCACCTGAAAATAAAAATACTTGTTGGTCTGTTATGTGTTTTCTATATGGTATGAATGTTTATTACATAGCTACCTTGATGCCATTTTCTTGAGTGATGTATTTTAATGTTTTTTAATCAATGAAACAATACAATTCCGATACTCTTCAACTAACCATTTAAATTTTCGTCATAGAAGTGAAGCATCACTATTGCGTCGTCTTTGACAGCGCAGTAAACATTGAAATTCCAACGGTCTTGAAATTGACGTTCCCGAACTGAATACGAGTTTGTATCGCTCCAGTAGTGAGAATTCCGCTTGCTGAATATCCCATTTTTGGTAAATTTCGCTTCGTCGCTCCATATAATATTCCTCAAAAATTGGTCGTTTTCTTGATTTTTCATAGTGAAGAACTCCACAAAGGTAATTCTTCTCTCATAATCGGATAGCTTCAGAATACGGATGCCATTTATGTTTTGCTAATATTTGCAAATCTCGTGCCGCATCTTTCAAAGATGCTTCTGGAAAAGCAGTGAAGTACCCAAGCACTGTAATCGCATTATCTTCATTGTTGTCAACCACCGTTTTAGTTTTAATAATTTTCCTTTCGAATGACCCAAAGTTCATAAGATTGAAGATTAATCTTCTAATGATATCTGGAGATGGTTTCGGTTTTTCTGGATACCTTGTAGCATAAGCATCACATGTTCTTGTTAACATCTTATTGCATTCGCCATAAATCACCAATAAGTTAAAGAAATCGTGATTATTATAACCAGCACGAGCCATATTGTACCTTCTGAAAGTAAGAGTCTGACAATAAACAACTTTATTTAATTTGTCACCAAACATTGTATTGAAAGATGGACAGCAGCCTACTAGAAATATCAACATTTCGGGAAAGTATGTAAATATAATGGCATATCTCCAAAATTATGAGTTTTGGGTATAGGGAAGTGTATCATAACTAGGGCTAATCATGATAGAATTGAACCTTGAGGAAAAAAATGGGGATTCCCATTTGAAAAAGTTGAGGTTTTTAATTTTTCTCATTCACTTATTGGACCCTAATTTTTACGCCCCCTGTGGATTATGCAGTGGACGTAAAAATGATTCGTGATCCGTTCAACCTTCAATTATCATGATTCATTAGCTGCATATTTTTAAAAATGTTAATTTACATGAAAATGACGTATGTTCGAGAGGCTGCATCTAACTCACTTTTTTCGAAAAAAACTCGAATAATTCGAAAACGTTTCATTTTGGGTATAGGGTATGATACATGACTTAGAATCTAAATCATGGGAAGAATTCAAAAATGAGGTGAAATACAGGGTGTGCCATTAAAAATAACAAAGATGACGTCACTTCCGGTGAAACCCGAAACGTCACTACAACGAAAATATTTCAGTTGAATTCTCCATTAGTTCTTCATCCATCCTATTGATTTTCAGAATCGCCCTTCTTTCAGTTTTCTATATATAGATCGCGTTAACTCGTCAAGATATAACCTGTATAAAATGAAATGTCCTATGGTGAGAATAGAACACTGATAATAGTGCTATAGTTGTCCGTTAACAGAACTTTTGGACGAGTCGGCGCGCCATCTGCTGGACAAAAGGAAAACTATCGATACGCGGCAAATTTAAATTACTATGGCTATTAATGGGCTTATCCAGAGAGCATTGGATAATGGTTATTGAGCAACGACCAAGTATTTTCTTTTCATGTATCGTTTGAAAATAGCATATTTTTCAACATAAAATTGTGGAATAAGAAATCATTATACACATGAAATATTAAATTTTCAAGCAAAACCTGATAAGAAAATACTTGGCCATTGTTCAATAACCATTATCCAATGTTCTCTGAAAAAAAAATTATAAAGGTGAAATGAATATGAATCAAAAACTCCTATAAGAAGCGAAAATGTATTAGTTCGGTTTGCAAGATCGTGCTCGAACTAAGCTGAACAAAAGTTTTATGATATTCGAAACTAAGTTTAATAAAGAACAATGATGAGGAAATAAAAATTTTGAAAACATGTGATACAAATGTATTTCTAGGATCAGACAAGCAAAGTAAAAATTGAAATTACAAGTAAGATTAAAGTTCGTTTAGTATTGCCAAAGAGTAAAATAATTTCAAGAATGCAAACATGTCGTTACATCAAAGAAAGCAACATAGTCCTCTCAAGCAAATAGCACTGCAATTCACCCACAAAATCATTGAGATATGTTTACCCTCTATATCCCTTGAGGAAGCCGCTAACGAGCCATTAAAATAGGGATATGCGACAAAGAACGCGAAAACACCGACAAAGAATGCGAAAATACCGCC